TTGGAGGTGCTGGTGCTGCTCCTGCTGCTCTGAATACTGCTGCTGTTGCTCCCACTGAGCCAGCATCTCGGGCATGTCCTCATCCCTCTCCCCAACCAAGACAGACCCAGCGCCAGCAGCAGCAGTTGCACCGGTAGCAGCGCCAGCAGCAGCACTGGTGGCAGCAGGAGAATCAGGCGGAGGAGGAGGTTCAGCAGCAGAAGCAGCAGCAGCAGCGGTGTCAACAGTCACGGGCTGTATGAGAGGAAAAGGAGGAGACGGAGTACTGAGCTCCACACTGCCCTCTCGACCAGACCCTCCCAACCACCCTCCTGTTACTCCAATCCCTTCGCCCATCCTTTCACCCATCCTTTCGCCCATCCCTTCGCCAGTCCATTCCCCAAACCCGCCAATCCGTTTGCCTAATTCGCCTGTCCAGGACTCCTGCCTGCTATCGCCCTCCGTTCCCTTTGCCTCCATATAGAGTTCCCCGCTACTGCTCAACAGCCTTCCCGAACTTCCCGTCCTGCCTGCCCCACGGCCGCCTGAGCCAGATGCCGAACCATGCAGAGGCCCGGACCTGGCTCGGTATCTCAGCCTGCGTTGCCCTGGGCCAGCAGGCTCGGGCCCCGAACCTGCACAAGCAGATGCAGCAGCACCACCCGCAGCAACTGCTTCCACCGCTGATGACGTGTCTGAGCCTGCTGACCCAGCAGTGGCTGCTGATTCAGCAGCAAGGCCTGCTGACTCAGCCGCAAGACCCGCTGACTCAGCAGCAAGGCCTGCTGCTGACTCAGCACCACCCATTCTCAGGGGGCCAGATTGGGACCTCAATCTCTTGCTGCTGCTGCTGCTACCGACCAGCCTATCCACTTCTGCCACGTCCCTTAGTGCCTGAATCAAATCCATCTTGGCAGGATCTCTGACGCCTTGCTTTTCCATGAGGAACGAAAGAGGGCCTAGCAGTTGCTGGGATGGGACAGAGGGTTGCTCTTGCTGCTGCTCTTGCTGCTGCTCTTGCTGCTGCCCTTGCTGCTGCTCGTGTGCATGTGGTTGCTGCTGCGGAGGCTGCGGCTGCTGCTGCTGCTGCTGGTCTGACTGCGCCTGTTGTTGTTCCTCTACCCTTACTACTGCCGACCCTACGCCTCTCGCCGTTCCCCCACTCGCTGCCAATTGTTGAGGCGCATCAAAAACTACCTGCTGCCCCTCTACCCTCAAAGCAGCCGGCCCAACGTCTACCCCACTTGCCCGACCCGCTGCCTTTTCCGATGCTCGTCGGGAAAACGCCGCTGCAATCGCTTTGCTAAGCATCCCGCCAGCAATACTGGCGGGTTTCGCGGAAGCAGCGCGCGACGAGGAGGAGGGGGCGGAGGAGGAGGAAGAGGAGGCGGAGGAGGAGGGGAAGAAGGGGAATGGGGAGGAGACGCCTGGGCGGGGATGGTAGGCGAAAGAGATGGAGATTCGAGCTGTACTCGGTATAGCGCGCCCCTCGTTATCTACAGTGGTGAGAGAAAAATCTTGCTCGCCTTGCTTCTCTAAAGCGTCTCTATTGGGGGGGAGGAAAGCAGGCATGGAATGGACAAGAGTAAGGGGAGGTTGGGGGGGATGTGGGCGGGGGAAACTGGGGGAAGTTGGGAAGGAAACACGAATCCTTCAAAGACGAAAAGCTGTTGAAACTGATTGGGTGGTACAAAAGAATTGCACCACCAGGGGATAAGAGAGAGAATTAGAGCATAGCAAACCCTAAACTCGTGTACTAATTACCTTATAGGAATGTACACAAACGCGAGCAGCTGGTCCTCTGTGGTGCCTCGGTGGTGACTGGCGAACCAAACCTCGCACTTAACCTCGGTGGCACGCTCGGGAATCCCAACCTGCAGGAAGGTACGGGAAGGCAAAAAAAAAAGAGTGCAAGTTGACGAATAATCGTATAACAAAGAAAACTTGAAAAACAAGGGAGGAAAAGGTTGTGGGGGTTGGGGAGGACGGGAAACGGAGACGGAGGAGGGGGTGGGAGGAATGAAGGAGAGATAGGGTTGAAAGAAAACCGTCCTGACTCCCTGCGGTGTTTGTGAGCATGAGTAAGTTGAGTTCTAGAAAAAATCATGTACCGTTTATTCTATTCAAAGCCTCTCTTGAACTACCCGTAGTCGCAGAGTTAAAGCTGAGTGTACGGCTGTAGCCGTTGATCAAACTGGGTTTACCTGCAGCCGTTGATCGAAGACTGGGTCCGTGCCCCCTCCTTTGATCGCCCGCGTAGTGAGCGCGACTCGGCCGAGCGGGTCGCGATCACCGCACAGCACCTTGGCGTACACATCTTGAGCCCCGAGCGTGGACCGATTCGGTAATCTTTCCGCTTGCAGAATATGCACATCGAGAATACCGACTAGGTTCCCGCCTTTTCTCGCCATGTCTTTTTATTCGTTAAGGTGTTTAGTATTCAGCTCGTGTTTAGTCAGTCGTGTTTTACTCGTGGGGACCACTATCGTCCTTCTCTGCCATCGAGGGCCGTACGTACACGATCAAGTATTACTGGCAGTGTTCATCAGCCTCGAAAAAACAAGAAAACGCAAGCCGGAACGGTTAATCAGTCTTTGGATTTTCCGCGACGATTTTCCACGACAGGATAACTGAAATGAGAAGCTAAGCTCTTGAAGTGGGTAGTCATAAGAGCTGGAAGAACAAAGGTCTTCGTAAGCTTCTGGAGCGAATTGTTCAAGAAAAGGGAGAAAGTATTCTAAAGAAAGAGCGAATTGTTCAAGACGTGCTTCTTCGAAAAGAATTCGCGACTAAATAGACGGCAGTGAACACTCGAAATTGCTATAGCTGGAATATAATATATTCGCTTTCCCAACAGTCGTTTAACAGTAAAAACTTCGAATCCAGAAAGGCATGGCCATCTACGGATGCAGGCGTGAGAAGAGCAGACAAGCTCAGCCGAAACACCATCGACAAATAAATTCGACACGATTTCAGATTTCGAGCACGTTTGACATCGAAGCTGGCGAAGCTGCGAGCTGCAGAAGAGACTATATACACGTGTATCTGAAGCCATCGTGATGTCGAGATTCCTGGAGGAAGGGTTGATGTCCGTGTGCGTGCAAGCAAGCATGGGCGGGAAAGAGTCGAGTAGGATTAGTTGCGTGTGATAGGGAGGGAGCACACCAGACCACAGCTGAGCAAAGCAGAGCGGAGGGGAGAGCAGATGGGAAGGATAACCAAAAGTTTGGATGTGCGGTGCGGTAAGGCCGAGCCTGGGTGAGTCTGGTTTGGTGGAGAAAAATCTCTGGGGTGAACCACGTACGGATAGCTTGGGGAAAGCATATCTGGTTTGGATGTGGTAAGGGGTAAGTTGGGGCAGAGGTCTGGTGACTTGAGCTTGGCCGTGTCATTGGGTTTGACCAGAAGTCCCGGAACAGCCTCACTGTGAAAGGACGCTGGGAAGTGTTCGAGACGAGGGAGTGCAGAACGGTCAACTCGCCAGACAGCATGGTGATGCTGGGCAGAGGAGCCGCTTCGTGTCTCTTGCTGGTGACGGCGGAAGTTCACCCGCCGATCAAATGATTTTTTGGGGCGAGAACATGGGTCTTGTTGAGCTCAGCGCACCAAACGAAACCGATGCACACAGCACATCACATAATGCAGGGTGTTTTCCCTTGTTCCGGCAGACCTGACACATCCAGATACTGCCTTATTTGACCAGGCCTCTGTCGGGGTGGGAGAAAAATAACGCGGCTGATGGGGGCTGGATGTTTGTAATTTGGGTGTGGAAGAGGGTCTGACAAACCCACCGGCCAAAATGTCCACATCTGGAAGATCGGTTCTGCCAGGTTCGCAACCAGTGGCGGCCAGCGCCCAACTTCTAGATGAAATCGGAAACTGAAATTGGGCTAAGTAACAAGATTCACGGTGCAGAGACGTCACTTGAATAATGTCATAATGAAGTTTTGCCTGCAACAGTTTTGTTGTCGTCACCAGTGAAAGGATTCGTGTTTAGCCCAACCATGCAATTCAAGGCTCTTGAAATTACGATCCGCCACAAATGGATGATTGGGTGTACCTTGAAATGGACGAGTGACTCAAAACGAAAGGGAGGCCTGGTACCGAGCCAAGAGCAACAAAACCAAACCACCCGACCACACAGAAGATCGTGGTTCGTGCTCAGCACGGTCCAACAGAGACGGGCAGTGTCCACACTTAAGCGAAACTTTTTTCAGCCAATCACAATTACTCGGCTGCCCATTTTGCTACGGAGTTCACTACCTTCCTCGCACCCGCCTCCCTCACGTCAGATTCATTTTCCTAGGGAATCCTGGCAAGGAGGACGTTCGGTTGCGAGAGAAATGTTTAGGCCGCTCACCAAATGTTTTGGCCGTCACTGTTTTCACTGTGTCCCCACCTCGAGGGCCGATGTGCACTTCAATGCGCGTTCGGCATGCTGCTGACTGGAAGCCGTCAATGTGACTGCAGTCAGATGACTGCCACGCGACGCCGCCAGGCTTTCAGAAGCAGCGCTCGTTTGATGGTTTGACCGAGCCTCGTGGCTTGACGGCAAAGTCACGCTCGGTAAGGCCTTGGCTCGGCAGCGCGACGTGAAGCTAGTAGAGGTGGAAAGCCCCCTAGGTGGCAAAGTTGAGAATCGATGCGACCAAATCCACTCGGGATGGGCTCGTGTCGGTGGAATGTACCTCCGAGAAAAGGTGGCTTCGTATGCACAACAAGAGCGACCACTTATCGAAGTTAGAGCCATCGGCGTACAGGACATCAGAACCAGGATGCGCCTAACCTTATTCCTTCCTATTCCCTCCATTAAAACATCAACTTGCTGTATTTCTCATACTGGCATTCCCACACTCGGTATTCTCTTCTTCAAATTAGTACGGACATTTCTATTTTCCAGCTCTGGGTCTGCAACTGACCAGCTGACCTTCAGAGGCAACAACCGATTATTCATTTCGCGCGAACACTTAGTAACATGCTTCAGATATTGTACCAGTGGAGAAAATGAACAAAATCGAGTGTTACTGCCAAGGGGAGAACGATGTGGGCTTCAGGATTTGCTTACTAATGAGTCTAAGCTCCGATGCTAAGTGTCCAGAAGTTCCTATAGCAGCATTACTAGCCTGCAATAGATGGTGAGACATAAGGGATGATGACAAAGTGGGGAAGGGGAACACACACCATAGATGAGAAGAGCAAACGAAAAGCACAAAGTTAAGCACGACGAACACAATGCGACGAGTGTATTCCTAATGGATGAATAACACGGCAAGGTGCTGATAGACCCAAACCACTTTACCGCCAAATAAAACAAGAAAAAGTACAATCAACTTTGATTGCAGTCACAAATCTGGGCTCATCGAGAGCGCTACACAGCATGAAGGGAATGCAGCAAACTAGAGACAGAGAGAGATGGGAGGGGAGAAAGGTTCACCAGAACACTAGGGAGAAGGGCGAGGAGAGCAAAGGCGAACGAAGACAGACAGAGAGAGGGGAGGGAAGAGGAGACGAGCGGATAGGGCAACCTTATCGGCTAAGTAGCAGTCGGTGGTGCTGCAGTGGCGCCACAGCTCTAGGGCACTGTCTGGCCTGCAAGCGGGCCAGGGTGAGGAGAGTGAGGGAGCAGAAAAGGCTAAGCGCTTTGTAGGGTCACTCAAATTAAATGGCCAAGTAGCAGTCAGTGGTGCTGCAATGGCACCACAGCTCTAGGGCACTGTGTGGGGTGCAGGCAAGCAAGGGCGATGTGAGTGGGAGAAAGTAACAGTCAGTAGATGACAGCATAGGAGAGAGACAGTCGGTGGTGCTGCAATGGCACCACAGCAGCTCCAGGGATCTATGTGGACTGCAAGCAAGCAAGGGTGGGGAGAGGGTGGCAAGAGTGGAGATGAAAAGAGGGCCAAGCAGGTAACTTGATAAATTTGGCCTGCGATGCTGTAGAAGCACACGAAGGGCTGTACAGGAAGCTGAGGTAGGGTGAAAAGAAAGCATAGAAACATGCCATGCCATGATGCGCAAGATTGAAGATGACGAGGCACAAGGCTTTGCTATAAGGTGACTTTTGAGTCGACTCAAAAGTCAAGATGACGAGGCACAAGGCTTTGCTATAGCCATGAGGGAGTGCTATGCCTCCTCATGGCTATAGTGTGAAAGCGGAAGAAGAAAAACAGTGTGAAAAAATAGTTGCATTCGGAGGAGTTTTAGAAGAGGTTGAACACTTGACATGGGCGACAAAGTGTTCGGTATTGAAGAGGTGCAAAAGCTGGAATTGAGCACTCAGAAAGGGTGAAATGGAGCACTCAGAAAGGGTGAAATGGAGCACTCAGAAAGGGTGAAATGGAGCACCAGGCATTTTTTTAATTCGTCTCAAAAAGGGTTACCGTGTGTAACGGTCAGAGCAGCCAACAAAGAGTTGGAGAGAGGGCAAACTTTTAACATTCGACTCAACAATAAATTCCCGATGCGTGCCATTCATGGTAGAGTGAACGATGCGTGCCATTCATGGTAGAGTGAATGATGCGTGCCATTAATGGTAGAGTGAACGATGCGTGCCATTGATGGTAGAGTGAACGATGCGTGCCATTAATGGTAGAGTGAACGATGCGTGCCATTAATGGTAGAGTGAACGATGCGTGCCATCAATGGTAGAGTGAACGATGCGTGCCATTCATGGTAGAGTGAACGATGCGTGCCATTCATGGTAGAGTGAACGATGCGTGCCATTAATGGTAGAGTGAACGATGCGTGCCATTCAGGGTAGAGTGAACGATGCGTGCCATTAATGGTAGAGTGAACGAACGTTACCCGGCGTCAGAGAATCCAAAGAAGAGGCAGTGAGAGGAGGGAGAAGCCGCCAGGCGAGCAGCGAGGCTGTGAGACAGGGGAGAGAGGATAGGGCAGGGGAGAGAGGTGCGAGAGGGGAAATGGGTTAGAGATGAAGGGGAGGCAGATCAGGGAGGCCAACATAAGAGAGAGCCTGTGAGAATGAGAGGCAGAGAGGGAGAAGCAGTGGTCAAAGAGGCAGAGAGTGGAGGGAGCAGACTTTTGAGTCTACTCAAAAGAGAGCCTGTGAGAGTGAGAGGCAGAGAGAGACAAGCAGTGGTCAAAGAGGCAGCGAGAGGAGGGAGCAGCCTCCTTTCGAGCAGCAGGGAGCCTGTGAGACAGGAGAGAAAGGCAGCGCAGGGGTGAGAAAGGTGAAAAACGAGCGACAGATACGGATGGGGTGAGTGAGAGAGGGAGAAAGGCAGGGCAAGGAAGGGCAGGGGTGAGAAACGAGCGGCAGATACGGATGGGGTGAGTGAGAGAGGGAGAAAGGCAGGGCAAGGAAGGGCAGGGGTGAGAAACGAGCGGCAGATACGGATGGGGTGAGTGAGAGGGGGAGAAAGGCAGGGCAAGGAAGGGCAGGGGTGAGAAACGAGCGGCAGATACGGATGGGGTGAGTGAGAGAGGGAGAAAGGCAGGGCAGGGGTGAGAAACGAGCGGCAGATACGGATGGGGTGAGTGAGAGAGGGAGAAAGGCAGGGCAAGGAAGGGCAGGGGTGAGAAACGAGCGGCAGATACGGATGGGGTGAGTGAGAGGGGGAGAAAGGCAGGGCAAGGAAGGGCAGGGGTGAGAAACGAGCGGCAGATACGGATGGGGTGAGTGAGAGAGGGAGAAAGGCAGGGCAGGGGTGAGAAACGAGCGGCAGATACGGATGGGGTGAGTGAGAGAGGGAGAAAGGCAGGGCAAGGAAGGGCAGGGGTGAGAAACGAGCGGCAGATACGGATGGGGTGAGTGAGAGAGGGAGAAAGGCAGGGCAAGGAAGGGCAGGGGTGAGAAACGAGCGGCAGATACGGATGGGGTGAGTGAGAGAGGGAGAAAGGCAGGGCAAGGCAGGGCAGGGGTGAGAAACGAGCGGCAGATACGGATGGGGTGAGTGAGAGAGGGAGAAAGGCAGGGCAAGGAAGGGCAGGGGTGAGAAACGAGCGGCAGATACGGATAGGGTGAGTGAGAGAGGGAGAAAGGCAGGGCAAGGCAGGGCAGGGGTGAGCGGGCAGGAGCGAGAGTAAAAGGCAAACAGGGATGCAACGAGTGATGGGGAAAGAGTCTCAACCCCCCCTTGTAGCATCGCAGCTCATACACCCCAGGTAATGATGGGGATGGAAAAGGAAGTGTTGGTGAGGAGACTTTTGAGTCGACTCAAAAGTTAGCCAGGGTGGTGGTGGTGCTGCTGCTGGTGCTGCTGCTGGTGCTGGCGCTGGCGCTGGCGCTGGCGCTGGCGCTGCTGCTGCTGCTGCTGCTGCTGCTGCTGCTGCTGCTGGTGGTGGTGGTGGTGGTGGTGGTGGTGGTGGTGGTGGTGGTGGTGGTGGTGGTGGTGGTGGTGGTGGTGGTGGTGGTGGTGGTGGTGGTGGTGGTGGTACTTACCGTACCGGGAATGTCTCCTGAATGTCGTAAGGCTTGCCTCGTCCCTCGTAGCAACGCAGCTCATACACCCCCGGGGATGGTGGTGATGCTGATGGTGCTGATGCTGATGGTAGTGATGCTGATGGGAGTGAGGAGGAGGAAAGGGGTGACGCACTTGCAGCCGCTGCTGCTACTGCAGCCATGCATTTGGAATCCTCCAGGAAAATGCTCGATTCCTTCAAAAGAGAGCAAAAGAGAAGAGAGAAAACGGGGGAAGAAGGGGAGGCATGGGGAAAAGGAAGAGAAGAAAAGACCACACAGAAAAGACGACAGACATTGCAACCCAGAGCTAAGAGCCACAGGAGCCACGGCCACAGGAGCCACGGCCACAGCAGCCACGAGCAGGGTCATTTTTGTTCCCTGCGACGACAGACATTACAACCCAGAGTTAAGAGTCATGGCCACAGCAACCACGATCATTCGCCAGGAAGGACAACCCTTGGGGGCGTTTCTAAAACTGAAGAACGAGTTCGAAAACGTGACAATGAAAAAAGTGGTACGAGTCAGAGAAAACTCCAGCTAGCATCAGATAGCTTGGGTACCCAAGCTATCCCAACAAGCCCAGCTAGCCCCGCTACCCAAGCTAGCCCAACTACAACAGGTGGAAGAACTGGGGGAGAAAATCAAACGAGACCAACAAGTACGGCAAAAGAGCACCATATATGTGTATGTATATGTATATATATATATATATATATATATATTTCTTTTTGCGGCTTGCGTCGAAGTGACTCCAGTTTCTCTTGAATCGACTCAAAAGGTAAAATAATTCAAGAAGAGCCATTAATCATAGCAAAAGAACACTTAAATGCCCCGCCATCTGTGACCGGAACGCTGACTTTCAAACGAGACGAGCACCAGCACGTATGGCGAAAGAACACGCGCGAATCTTAATTCGAGACTCAAACAATGCCCAATAAAACAGCTTTGGCGAAAGAACACTCAACCGCCCTCTCACCTGAGAGTGGATGTGAAGTGAAACACTAGCTTCACCAAAAACAGGTACTCTCTAGTGATTCTACTGATCCCCGCCGCCCACCATGCCTGCTGCCTGCCATGCCTGCTGCCTGCCACCTTCAATTGTCTCGAGAAAACTCTTCCATGCTAGTTGACTATCGTCCCCTTGCTAAAGGCGACCTTGCCTACTGCTGCCCTTCTTCATGAGCACAGATCCTCGAGAAAACTCTTCCATGCCACAGTCAGATCCGAGTCGAATTTACTGTCCCCCTCACCTGAGACTGGAAGGCTGGTTTCACTAGAGGAAGTGTCTCCTCAGTCCACTCCCTGCTGCCTGCCATGCCTGCTGCCGTTTCATGTAATTCTCCAATTGGTCCAATGAAAAGGCATTTCGCAGGTCTCCAATTCTCGCAGTACTCCAATTGGTACCCTTGCGAGTCGACCACCCCAATTGGTTAACTCAACTGCCCCCTCACCTGTGACTGGAAAACCGGTTTCACAAGAGGTAGGTACTCCTGACTCCACCCCCTGCTGCCCGCCATGCCTGCCCTTACTGCGTCCCTCTCCTCCCACCCGCCTGTGTGTGTGCGAGGGAAGAGGAGGGGAAGGAAAGGGTGAGGGAAAGGAGGACGGAAAAGGGATAGAGGAGGGCCAGGGTGGTGTGGGGGTGTGAGACTCCTAGACCTACGTTTCAAGGCGCCTCAACAATAGACTCTCACAGCATTATCTCGCTCTCTCTCCCCACCCACCTGTTTGTGTGTGGGGGAAGGAGGGGGGAGTGAAAGGGGCAGAGGAGGAACAGTGTGGTGCGGGGGTGTGAGACTCCTAGATCCATGTTTAGAGGAATTTTCTGAGAATTCTAAAAGAATCCCTGCAACAGCGAAGGGGCAGAGGAGGAACAGTGTGGTGCGAGACTCCTTCCTAGATCCACGTTTCAAGGCGCCTCAACAACAGATTCTCACAGCATCGAAATCCCTCTCCCCCTTCCCACCCACGTGTTTGTGTGTGGGGGAAGGGGGGGGAGAGAAGACGTGGAGGAGGAAGATCGTGGTTCAATAGAGTAACAGGGTAACTGTAGAGGTGGTTACCAGAATAACAGTCCGTGTGGTTACCAGGATAACAGTGGTTACCAGGGTAACATTGCATGTGGTTACCAGGTTAACAGTGCGTGTGGTTACCAGGGTAACAGTGCATGTGGTTCACAGGGTAACAGTGAATGTGGTTACCAGGGTAACAGTGCATGTGGTTACTAGGGTAACAGTGCATGTGGTTACCAGGGTAACAGTGCATGTGGTTACCAGGGTAATAGTGCATGTGGTTACCAGGGTAACAGCGCATGTGGTTACCAGAGTAACAATGCATGGTAACAGTGCATGTGGTTACCAGGGTAACAGTGCTTGTGGTTACCAGGGTAACTGTGCATGTGGTTACCAGGGTAACAGTGCATGTGGTTACCAGGGTAACAGTGCATGTGGTTACCAGGGTGACAGTGCATGTGGTTACCAGGGTAACAGTGCATGTGGTTACCAGGGTAACAGTGCATGTGGTTACCAGGGTAACAGTGCATGTGGTTACCAGGGTAACAGTGCATGTGGTTACCAGGGTAACCGTGCATGTGGTTACCAGAGTAACAGTGCATGTGGTTACCAGGGTAACAGTGCATGTGGTTACCAGGGTGACAGTGCATGTGGTTACCAGGGTAACAGTGCATGTGGTTACCAGGGTAACAGTGCATGTGGTTACCAGGGTATCAGTGCATGTGGTTACCAGGGTACAGTGCATGTGGTTACCAGGGTAACAGTGCATGTGGTTACCAGGGTAACAGTAGAAATGGTGCACCTCATTCAGCACTCCCCCAGTCTCCACAGTCCAAAACCTGACGGGCGCGGGCAGCGGGAGGAGTGGAAAGGAGTGGAGAGGAGTGGAGAGGAGTGGAGAGGAGTGGAGGGGAGTGGATAGGAGAAAAAGAAGGGGGGAGGTGATGAACCTCGTTCAGCACTCCCCCAGTCTCCACAGTCCAGAAGCTGATGCGAGGGGAGAGGTGGGGGAAGGAGGGGACTAGAGGAGGAAGAGAGGTGGTAACCAGGTTACAAGAAACGCGTCTGGTTGTGGTTCAAAGCTGATGAACAGCATTCAGCACTCCCCCAGTCTCAACTATCCGAAAGCTATATTAGTGCGACTTTTGAGAATTCTCAAAAGTCGCACTAATATGCGAGAGGGAGGAGGGGGTGCAGAGGGGAGAGGAAACGAGGAAAGAGGAGGGGAGGAGAGGGAAGGGGAAGCGGAGCGGAGGGGAGGGGAGGGGAGGGGAGAGGTAAGGGGAGAGGTAAGGGAGTAGGGGAGAGGAAACGAGGAAAGAGGAGGGGAGGAGAGAGAAGGGGAAGCGGAGCGGAGGGGAGGGGAGGGGAGGGGTAAGGGGAGAGGTAAGGGGAGTAGGGGAGAGGAAACGAGGAAAGAGGAGGGGAGGAGAGGGAAGGGGAAACGGAGCGGAGGGGAGGGGAGGGGAGGGGTAAGGGGAGAGGTAAGGGGAATAGGGGAGAGGAAACGAGGAAAGAGGAGGGGAGGAGAGGGAAGGGGAAGCGGAGCGGAGGGGAGGGGAGGGGAGAGGTAAGGGGAGAGGTAAGGGGAGTAGGGGAGAGGAAACGAGGAAAGAGGAGGGGAGGAGAGGGAAGGCGAAGCGGAGCGGAGGGGAGGGGAGGGGAGAGGTAAGGGGAGAGGTAAGGGGAGTAGGGGAGAGGAAACGAGGAAAGAGGAGGGGAGGAGAGGGAAGGGGAAGCGGAGCGGAGGGGAGGGGAGGGGAGAGGTAAGGGGAGAGGTAAGGGGAGCAGGGGAGAGGAAACGAGGTGAGATGAAAGGAGAGGATTGGAGAGAAACATTTCCGAGCTATCTTTTGAGTCGACTCAAAAGTCACCACATTCCCGAGCTATCCCCCTCGCAAAACATTCTTCCATACCGCATGCCCTTCTATCCGCGCCATCCCATTCTTAAGTTACTCCAACCGATCCTAACCTCACAGCACTCCCCTATCCCCCCTGCCACGTAAATCCCCATCTGCCGTCTCACCCTCCACTTCCCCCTTTCACCTTCCTTTCTGCCGCCTATCCCCACTTCCCCCCTTCCATCCCCCGCCTACCCGCGCCATCCGGGGCTCAGATCCTTCCGCAGCGCCGCGAATCACTTTCCCATCCCCCCTTCTTCCCCCCGCCCCCCTTCCCCGTTTACCCCATTCCCCCCTTCCCCGTTTACCCCATTCCCCCCTTCCCCGTTTACCCCATTCCCCCATTCCCCGTTTACCCCATTCCCCCCTGCCGCCTACCCGCGCCATCCGGGGCTAAGCTCTTTCCGCAGCGCCGCGAATTTCCGAGTCGCGTCTAAATAGGTCTTTAGCTCGCCGGGGACTATGCGGTACGTGCGCAGCTCAAATATCGGCGGGGATCTCGACCCGCCTCCTGACGTGGCAGCTGCTGATTGAGCTGATGAAGGCATCGGCGCTTTCGTGGCACCTTCTGATTGGCTAACGTATCCTCGCGCCGTCGCGAACGTGCCTCCCGCGCCGTGATTAGCGGCAACACCTAAGCCAAGATAGAAAGACGAACTTAGAGACCTTAATCGACTCTGTCCTAAAGGATCATATGCGAGTGCGAAAGTGCTCACTCTTTCGGTAATAGTCCCAGACTTAGTGCAACTGATACTGTTACAACCGCGATTAAACGTTTTCGTCAGGGTCGCGGTGACCTGGAAGAGGTGCTTCGCCATCACGGAGGCGACATTCGCAGCTCTTATTGCGAAAACGGGATCGTGGACCCTCGAAACTTCCGCGAGCAACGCACGCGGATATTCGCGCGCTTTGTCGTTGCTCAGGCTGTCTCTCGAATCGCAAATTCTGAAATATTTGACATAGGCTGTGGGGGATCAGTGGTGTACCCATTCATCCCAACATTGCAGGTGCTCAGTCTGATACGGTGCAGAACGTTTGATTTGCATTTTGAAAAGGTTCCTTAAGGTAAAGAATCTGCAAACGGGTGGAATTGTGATAAGCTAATAAGCAGATGGAGTCAAAGGAAGGATTCTAGGGTGCAATTGAGTAAGCGAGCGAGAATTGCACTACACCTAGTCCGCGGTATTTTAACCGCCGCTATCTTAACCACGCGAGAGTACTTCTCCTTTATCAAACTTATTTAGTCGGGTTGTTTCAAACTTTACGAGGGTAGAATCTAGCATTCCCTTCGCGAGATGACGGTAAAAAAAACTCAGTGAATGCCGAGTGTGATAAATGTCACTCTGTCTATCTTGGAGCACTAAGTGTGAGTTCCTTAGACGGAAGTGCTTTCGGCTGCAGAATCGTAGTCGAGTACTAGGCCATTTTGGAGTCGACTTGGCATCGTTTTCATGTCAACTTTTTAACGGCCATCAAATTCGTTATTTCTTTGCGAAATTTGCGAATGTCGACACTTGACATACAATTGTCGCGGACTGGTTACCTACGCACCCCGACGAATTGTGGCCGGTTTTTTGTAGTTCCTGATTTAACACGCCCTACACATGAGCTAAGAATATAGAGCTAAGCAAATGTCAGATATATATGACATAGCTGTTGTAGGCTATAGTGGGGTAGCACATATGGGGTACAGCTCTCTAGGGTTTGCATTTGTACCAAACTTTCACTTAGTCATTCTCATTCCTGTTCTAGTATTCTCACATGGTATAGAGCGGGTTCCCTGTGGGAACTTCGCCTAGGGCCCACCGAAGCGCGCCCCGAGGCGCGCTAACCTTTTTTTTTCTCTCTCTCTCGAGCGACCCTCCGTGTCGCCCTTCCCTCGCGGCCTCGTTGCCCTTTCAGACGCGGCCTCACCGCCCCTTTTCGAACGCGGCCCCGCCGCCATTTCAGACGCGGCCCCGCCGCCCACTTCGGACGCGGCCCCGCCCGCCCCTTCAGACGCGGCCCCGCCGCCCGCTCCGACGCGGCCCCGCTGCCTGCTCAGACGCGGCCCCGCAGCCTGCTCAGACGCGGCCTCGCCGCCTACTCAGCCGCGACCCCGCTGCTGGCTCCGACGCGGCCCCGCCGCCCACTCGGACGCGGCCCCGCCGCCTGCTCAGCCGCGGCCCCGCCGCCCGCTACGAAGCGGCCCCGCCGCCTGCTCTGATGCGGCCCCGCCGCCTCCTCAGCCGCGGCCCCGTCGCCCACTCAGGCGCAGCCCCGCCGCCTGCTCAGCCGCGGCCCCGCCGCCCGCTCCGACGCGGCCCCACCGCCTGCTGAGCCGCGGCCCCGCCGCCCTCCCCTTCGACGCGACCCCGCCGCCTACTCAGACGCGGCCCCGCCGCCCGTTCCGACGCGGCCCCGCCGCCGTCACTTGCGGCCACCCCGCCATTGCGCGGCCCCGCCGCCTCCTTCCTGCGGCTCTACGGCCGCCTCTACTGCGGCCCTTCGCCGTCCCTGCAACCCGGCCCCGCCGCCCCCTTCCTCTCGCGCCGCCCAACTGCGGCAGCCGAGCCGCCAGCCTGCAGCAGCCGAGCCGCCCACCTGCAGCAGCCAAGCCACTCACCTGCAGCAGCCGAGCCGCCGGACCACCGAGCAGC